GAATAATGCAAGGGTCTGTGCTGGGCCCTGTCCCATTTGACATCTTTATCAGTGACCTGGAGGAGGTGACAGACAGTTCTGGTCTCAAGATTGCAGATGATGCCAGATTGCAGGGACACACAGTCGGGTCAGGGCTGCCATCCAGAGGGACCTAGCCAGGCTGGAGGAATAGACCAGCAGGAACCTCATGAAATTCATCAAGGACACATGCCAAGTGCTGTCCCTGGGTAGGAAGCACCAGTGCAAGGACACAGGCTGGTCTATGCCTGGCTGGGAGCAGCTCTGCGGGAAGGGACCTGGGGACCTTTGCAGACACAAACTGAGCATGAGCGATCCGTGTGCCCTGGCTGCGGGGACGGACAGCAGCACCCTGGGCAACCCAGTGCAGGAAAGACATGGAGTAACTGGAGCAAGTTCATCAGAAGGCCCCCAAGCTGGCCAGAGCACTTGCCCCGTGAGGCGAGGCTGAGGGATCAAGTCTTGCTCAGCCTGGAGAAGAGGTGGCTTCAGGGGAGGTCTGACAGCACCTGCCAGCACCTGCGAGGGGGTTATCAAAAAGACAGAGCCCTACACTTCACAGTGGGGCATTATGGGGGGATGAGAGACAACAGGCATAAGTTGGAACGAGAGAAGAGGTAGGACAGAAGGAAATACTTTTGCACTCTGGGGACAGTCAAGAACTGGAGCTGGTTGCCCAGAGAGGTTACACGATCTCCATCCTTGGAGAATTTTAAGACCTGACTGCTTAAAGCCCTGAGCAACCTGGTCTGATCTCAGAGCTGACCCTGGAGCTTGGACTAGATGTCCTTCCACGGGCCCTTCCAACTTAAATCGTTGTCTGTGATTCATTATATGAATATTTTAAAACTACCTTGAATTTCCAGTTAGATTTATTTGTGATCTATTTGTGTCCTTGAGTTCTTTTGCTTCTTAGGCTTGTTCTTGGCCTAAAATAAATTTTATTCTGCAACGTATTAACTGAGAACAATAACATTCACTCCTAACTTCTGTTAAGCAAAACAAGCCACGGTCTTCTAATTTACTTACGTGAAATAGAGTCCCTACTCCTTTTTCATCCTAATATCCCCTCTCTGCACCTGTTCTGATTTAAATTAATCTACCTTGCATGTAGGTGATCACAACACTGCAGTACTGCACAAATCCAAATACAAGGTCAATGAAGAAATATTCATATCCTGCACTAGGCACTCTTGCTACTGAAAACATTCCGCAGCACGATACAGCCAGAGACTTAATTTAATTTTTTTTTTCACAACTGCATCCTGCCCATACTAATCCTGTCACTGTTTATCATTTCCTGATCTTGCTTTATATATATAGAAATATGTAAATACGGACATATGCAAAATTATTGTGCCATAGAAATGACTAATGATGACAAATCCTACTATTAAAAAGGCTTTTCTGATATTTGCCCTAAACAATGGTCTCACTACTAATTTTCATTACTCTTAATTGGACCATTTTTTTCCCTCAGAAGCTGTTAAGTGTTCTAGACCCAGGTGTCTCTCAAATATGTGCGCGCAGAAATCTTGTCCTCTTTTAAATTACATCTATTGATCTTTTCTGGTGAGTCATTTTTTTCCAGCACCCTAATTATTTGGATGTCAATGAAAAAGATTTCTTTACAACAAAATGTTTTCATGTTCTGAATTTTGTTTTTAGAATCCTGTAAAAAGACCACTGAAATATTCTTTAAATCCCAGAGATCACAATTCCCTAAAAGGTGTGAGACACAACCTTTTAAGTATATTGATCACAGAATGCCGTATTCTCCTTGTATTACAAGTGCTTTTGAGATAGTAACTCTGATTCCAGTTTGATCATATGGAATTGTGGTCCTTCTGGGAAAGTGGGCTTTATTTAAGTAGTAATTAAGAACAAGAAATTCCCAGTGATACAGCAGGTTTCCCCAGTTATATCTTCTCTCATCTTCTGTTTCTCCACAAATTCCTCCTTTGGGAAATTGTTTAAAGCTAATCTGGAAGTGAATTCTCATAGTTTCTCAATGAGATTGCCAGTGGTATGCTGGTAATTTGCCATGCAAGAGAGAAATTGGCTTTTTTTGAGACAGTATTTTGTTGTTCATGGCTTATGTACTGCTTTTCACATTAATTGTTTAAAGAGCAGCAAGTCCTCTGTAGATTTAGTAGCTGTAAATTTGAGCTTGTGAGACTGTAACGCAGAACACCGGGCCCTATGTAGGGTTCATTGGCTAAATGTTCATGAATATATAAGGAGCTCTTAGCTCCAATGCTTAAATTATTTCTATCTCCCCTCCAAGTGTAGCAGCAGAAGCCTCCCGTGTCTGATCTTTGCACGTGAGCTTCTTATAAAGGGAAAGCATGCACTGATTCCAGCACCATCCTGTTGATCCCTCAGAGGGAATTTTCCAGCCACAGCACTCCAGCTACTGCACAAAATAGCTCTAAAATTCTTCAGCCATTGGTTGCAACTTATTTTGAAACAGAAAAATGTTTAACTGTGTACTGGGTGCAGGTGTCCAGGAGGGGGAGGTGGGGGTGGGAGCTGCAGGGGCGGCCTCTGTGTGGAGAGGCTGGGACTGCCCCATGCCGGACACAGCCGGTCCCAAGCAGAGATTCCCCTGCGACCCTGGAGAGATCTTGGTGGAGCAGGTATTTCCCTGTAGCCCCTGGAGAGACCACAGTGGAGCAGGTATCTCCTGGGGCCCATGGAGAGGACCATGCTGGAGCAGCTATCCACACTGCAGCCCCTGGAAGACCCTACACCGCAGCAGGTGGACATGCCCTGAAGGAACTACGGCCCATGGAGAGCCCACGCTGGAGCAGATTTATCCTGAAGGACTGCAGCCCGTGGGATCGGCGGAAAGGTGTGAGGAGGAAGGAGCTGCAGGGAGGAGCTGTTATGGACTGACTGCAGACCCCAGTCCCCATCCCCCTGCGCCCCTCGGGTGAAGGAGGTAGAGGAGTCAGGAGTCAAGAGTGAAGGTGAGCCTGGGAAGAACGGGGGCGGTGGGAGGAAGATGTTTTAGGTTTTGTCTTTGTTTCTCACTATTCAACTCTATTTTAATAGGCAATAAATAATTTTCCCCATGTTATCTCTTTTTTGTTTGTGACAGTAATTGGTGAGTGATGCCCTTGTCTTTTGTCTCAACCCACAAGCTTTTTCATCTTATTTTCTCCCCCTGTCCTGTGGAGAAGGGGGAGAGAGCAGCTGAGTGGGAATCTGACAGCCAGCAAAGGTCAACCCGCCACAAACTGTTTTAAGTAAGCTAGAGCTCTCAGGGTCATTTCAGCCCTACTTTTTCATCTTAATCTTCAACAGACTCAATTATTAACTTGGAAATTATTTCCATTTCCATTTGAATAAATTATATTAGAATTTTTGCCATGAGACAAAAACAGAGAAGCAAACTTCAAAGCATTGATTAGCTATCATTAGCTATTCTGGTTGACAGCCGGCTGAACATGAGCCGGCAGTGTGCCCAGGTGGCCAAGGCGGCCAACGGCATCCTGGCCTGTATCAGAAATAGTGTGGCCAGCAGGAGGAGGGAGGTGATCGTGCCCCTGTACTCGGCCCTGGTGAGGCCGCACCTCGAATCCTGTGTTCAGTTTTGGGCCCCTCACTACAAGGACACTGAGGTGCTGGAGCGTGTCCAGAGAAGTGCAACGAAGGTGGTGAGGGCCTGGAGCACAAGTCTTATGAGGAGCAGCTGAGGGAACTGGGGCTGTTTAGCCTGGAGGAGGCTGAGGGGAGACCTCATCGTGCTCTACAACTACCTGAAAGGAGGTTGTAGCGAGGTGGGGGTTGGTCTCTTCTGCCAAGTAACTAGCGACAGGACAAGAGGAAATGGCCTCAAGTTGCGCCAAGGGAGGATTAGATTGGGAATTAGGAAAAATTTCTTTACTGAAAGAGCGGTCAGGCCTTGGAACAGGCTGCCCAGGGAAGTGGTGGAGTCACCATCCCTGGAAGTATTTAAAAGACGTGTAGATGTGGTGCTTAGGGACATGGTTTAGTGGGCATGGTGGGGTTGAGTTGACAGTTGGACTTGATGATCTTAAAGGTCTTTTCCAACCTTAATAATTCTATGATTCTATCATGATAAAGATTAATATTGGCTCATATTTAATACGATGATTCATTACCTGGCAAAATTAAGGCTCTGCATTGTTTCTATTTCAGTTTCCATTAGGATTTATTATTATTCCAGAAGTTGTAATGTACATTCCTTGTTTTTTTATAAAAATATGGGATGTCAATGTCCTACAGTTAGAATGGTACTAGAATGGTACAGGCTGCTAAATTCAGCACCAGTGCACAGAAGGTAATGTCATTTCTGTGCACAGGCACAGCACCAGCACTCTGCAAATCTTAGAGACTCGAGAGGAAGTGCAAGACTCTTCCCCTGTCTGTGTCATACTTGTGTCTGATATCTTGCACATCCACGCGGGAAAGCTAAAAGAAGAGTTGGCATCTTCCCTCATGTTTTGTAGAACACGCATTGGACTTCTGCTTAAAGGCAAGGGACAATATATCCTTCACTTACTTTCATACTCCTGAACTGAGCTACAAACAACCACAACATAAAGACAGAAAAGGAAGAATACTTGACTTTTGTCAACATTCTTTTTCTTTTTGGAAGAAGGTTGTTCAGTTTAATCCTCATGAAAGTGGGAAAAATAACAGCAGTGGATTAAAGCCAGAGTTTAAGAAAATACATTTAAATATTTTTTTTTTACCTAAAAATGAGTTTCCTCATCATTCAAAGACCTAAGAGTTAAACTATATTGTATACACCTCAGGTACAAATTGACAAAAGATCTAATAAACCAGACTATATAAAAAGCAAGAGACTTTTTTTTTCCCAGAAAAATGTATTTGTGTTTTAGCTGATCATATAAAAAGCATTAAATTTTAAAAAAGTATGTATATATTTTTTCAAGTGTTAATGGTTTCACCACTCATTGTAACTACATTCCAAAGTCCTGTAACATCAGGGCACATCATCCTTATCTGGGTAGCACAGTGAGCATCATGTTTACACTGAGGTCACTCTCATCACTACTTCCCCAGAGCCGTTATCTTCTGACGGATCTTCCTGAGGTCTCATGCGGTTGAACAGATGTAACAATACATAGCCACACTGAAATCTTGGTGAGGTTAACTGTGTCGGATGAACTAAACTTCTGTTTCTAAATGCAGTCATCCTGCTGAGGGTTCTCCTCGATTGCTCTCTTCTATGTCTGTGGCTTTATCGTAATTTAACACATCCCAGTGTAGATTCACAGCCCTCCAGCGCTTAAATACTCGATAAACAGATGCACCTTCATGTACTATCAGTCCTGAAATTAAGGAAAAAAAATTAGTTTGTACAAAATGTCACTGGATACCATTTTGACAGCAAATACACATGTAACACATTGTAATGAATCTGGCAATTGCCAGAGCCTATTAAATTACTTGTAACTCTGATAATTCAAATAAATTGTACACATGCAATATAACTGGTTATTCATGTGTTTAAGATTGGAAAGTGGGAACATGTAGGGGAAATAAAATTATTCTGAATGAAAGCTCAACATAACCAATACTGGAATAATCTGAGCATGCCTAACTAAATAAAGTATTAAGGTTTAAGTAAACCAATATAAAAGAACCTTACTGGCAGATTTGTAAATTGACTGTTTATGCTAGTGTTATCCTTGTTCATGGTAAGTACCACTTACTGAGATTTGTACTGGTATAAGTAGGTCTTTAAGTAAGTTAGACCTTCCATAATGAACAGGATGGTCTTAAATTTGTTTAAGAGTGTTTTGTAGAATTCAGTACAGATACAAACAAATTTAAATGTTTTCACATTCTTAGTTCAACTTGGGAGCACAGAAGATTTATGAAAACCTGAAACATCTAAGTATAATGACTTTCGTGTCTTGCTTCTTAAGCAAGAAGAAATTAAATGTTATTATTAACTACGATATGCAAGGAAGCTTTCTCTTCAAAAGTCAGTAGACAAAAGTTGAGAAACATCTTTTTTGTTGAGACCCGGGAAATCTTTTAAAAGGAAAATACAGAGTTCTCAATAGACCAACTTGCTTATGAGCTTCCATGTAGCTAATATTTATGCTTATTGTATGCATGCAAGCAATTTATTTACTTAAATGAAAGTCTTCTTTTTTCATATGTATGTATATATGTATATGTATTTATACACTCACTCTTTATGTGTAAGTATTTCAAATGCGGATTTACTGGGGATACACATGGGGCTTCAGCCTTCTTATTAGGTTTCTTCTCTGTTCCTCAACCAGCCTGGTAACCTATATGGTTCTGTGCAATGCCACATGTTTCCTCTGACTCCCTGCTTTGGGAGGAGAGCAATCTGCCTAGCCAAACACATTTATAAATTTTTTGTCCGGTGTGTTTCTTGCCTAAAATTTTCCTATACATGGCCACATCTATAATATGATCTGCGGTGTCACAGGCTATAGTCCTTTATCCCAAGAGATTGTATATCACTTGTTCCTACACAATGAAATTGTGATTTAAGTGTCTGAGGTCTCTAAGCATGGTTAACTGGCACCAGAAAGGAGACATTCAAAGAAAGATGACACAAGCAGAAAGGATGATAAAAACATTTATATGAACAGCAAACCTCAGATTCAAGTGCAATGATTTGCAGATAGCAATGCCTACTCTAACACATTTTTAAAGATCATTACACTGAAAGATGGAGAAATGCGAAGATTGCTTTCAGAAGGACATGATAGCAAATGTAGCATCTCTGTAAAGCTTTCAAGTTGCCTAGAATTTGTTGAAGCATCCGATACAGCAAAACTAACACAATATAAACTTAATTAAATGTCAAATATTTTAAATGTATTTTGTATCAGCATAGCATTTTAGTGGAAAATCTCCTTCACTGCAAGACGTCTACCTTCATCTTCTCAGATATATATAAAGCAACCTGTCCTAAAAATTTAGCAGCCATATTAATATATAAATGCACCTTCAAGACTGGCTATATTGTCTTAAAAAGGATAAATGTGTTTGACCACGTACAAAATCTACAAACCAAATAAGCCACGGTTTTATTGCTGTGACAAAGATCCCCCCTTTTTTTTTTCTGTTGGATTTCCTGTAGAATGATAAGGGAGATGAGCATAATTTTCCCTCCACTTGTCACTGGAACATAGTATTCTTTGGCCCAGTTTCCCTCAAGACTGTGATGAAGCAAAATTGAGAGAACCTATTTACCCCAATGTAAAAATTTTTGATACCTGCCTGCACTCCACTGGAACCTGAACAACGTATTTCAGAATAGAGAAGGAAGCAGTTGAGAAAGGATCATTGAGGTACATGAAGTACATTTAAACAGTCAAAAGTATCCTCTCAAAATCACGACAGAAAAAGTTGTAGGACTTCTTTCAGAGAGCTCTTTTTTACTGTTTTTGAGCTTTCAGGATTTATCAAAATCATGTTTTCAACAATGACAAGGAAGAGAACTTTTCTTTAAAATGGAAGCTGTTATTCACATATGCTCTAAAAGAACTACCAAAAAAAGGATCAAATATTGCAAGGCTTGAAATAAAGTTGTCAGATTTGGAGAAAAGGAGCACTTCCATAATTCCTCCCATAAAATGCTTTATTCCCCATCTGATAAAACTACAGATTGAAAAACACCTATGTAGTAGAGGCAAAAGAATTCCAATAGATCTTTTGTCTCTCTGAAAGATATTGTCCAGGGAGCGGGGGAAAAAAAGCTCTCAGCACCAACAGTTCCAAGACCACAAACAAGGGGAAATCTGGGTAAGGTTTAAATGCTGGAGATTTTCCAGTTCCTGAGAAGTTCTGATGCTCAAAATATAAGTAGTTAGTCACTAAAGTGAAGCTGTAAGAAAATGGCAAAGAATCTCCTTTTTCTTAAGAGTTCCACAACAATGAATGAGGATATGAGAGAGAAAACAAGGATAAATCCATGAATAATACTGACTTGTTCCAAATACCATGATTTCAACAGCACAGAGGACATAGTTGCACAGTCCTAGGGACAAAAAATTACTGGTTTGCCCAGGTGATCCCAAGAAGAAGTGTTAGAATTCACTACTGTTAGCTGTTCTGACATTCTGTCCAATTAATATCTACAAGGAACAGAGTTTTGGGATGATGGACCTGGCAAAACGTCCTAAGGCTCTAAGAAGACCTTACCTTCACGATTTATTTCTAAGATATAGGGATTGTAGTGGGATCCAGACAATAGGATTATAGAGAGATCATAATTTTCTTTTCTTTTACTGCAAAGTACTATGAGATTCTTTCACTCTATCCAAAGGATTTCTTACCCTGAGTCACAAGACCACTTGAAATTTTTCATACTGAATGTCTTTACAAGCAGGCAACTCGTCTTAGTTCCTTCAGATTTGGTGGTATTAGGTTCCAGAGTTGTCTTATTTATCACACTAATCTTACTTATAATCATTTAGGAATGGTCCTCCCAGAAACATCACAAACTATTACCAGGGAGTAAAAGACCCTTTTCAGAAACAGACTTTACCACTGGACAAAATACCATCTCTTGACACTGTTCTAGGGCCCATAGATATAAAAAAATGCAGTGAGTTGCTCAAAGCATTGAAGTGAAACATGTCCACTCTAAAAATAGCAATATAACTCTTTCTAAATTATTCAGAATTAGATCTAATATGAAAAAAAAAAAGACTTTCTGAGTAGAGAAGTATTAAGTGCAGCTAGATGTGTTCATTATAAGTAACTTCAGCCTGTATATTTTTACAACTAAGGAGTTACACGAATGTTGCTAGGCATCAAGTTCCTTGGCGGGGAAGAAAGCGGCTTTCAGAGGGCTATTCACACCTCACATTGGCTCCCAGATCTTACTCCCTTGCTGTAGTACTACTGGCACCACTCACGTTTCCAGTGCAATGTTACAATTGCTTTTCACACTCTAAAAGAGCTGCACTGTTGTTCTGGGATTGCAAGTGAGCTGTTATTATTTGTGAGAGATCTTGTTCATGTTAGAACCATTTATGACTAGTAGTTATGATTATATTCTGGTGAAAATATATAAAATTATATGACTTCACTGTTATGAGAAATAATTGCTAGGACTACAAAGTAGAATGGCAAAGGCTTGGTGTACTGTCCTTCAGTGGCTAAATAAGGGGTTTATATTATTCATTCCTTTCATATTAGCTCGTGAATTCACTCCTTTGGTAATCCCTACATGGATGGTCTGATCCTAGCACTACCACTGCAATAGCTCTGGGTTTCACAGGCAGTAGTTCTGCTTGATTAAATTGTTCAAGGTTTGCCTTAGGAAAACTTCTACGATCAGCAAGTTTCAAAGAGAACAGCTTTATGCCCAGCTTAAATGTAGAAATGTACAAACTAGTGACTTGTAGGGTTGAAACTAACACTGATGATAAGTAAAAACGATCAACGATCTGTTAGGAAGAATTCTGGGAAACTTTAGAGTAGAACAAGGAGAACAATGGATACCAATAAAATATGTACACTGGAATGAACAGAACATATTATATTGGTGATCTGTAATCTTTGGGATATTCTTTCTGGTGAAAAGTAAAACAAGACCGAGAATTAAAATACAAATTGTATGTAATTTAATTGAGAAGAAAGTGAGTGGTATGCTACGTATGGTATATAAACCAATCATTGGGAAAACAAATTAATATGTGCAAGTTTTCAAAGATGTCATATAAGTATGTCAGTACCTTTAGGCAAACTGCTTTTAAAAATAATGACAACAAAACATTTCAAAAAGTACAGGTTTTTACACTTCAGAAATAACCAAAAATATTCATATTGTTTATGCAAAGTTATAGGGAGACATAACTGAAGGCAGTTGGAATAAGCCTTGGTCATACCACCAGTAACTCAAGCACTTGTCTTGAAATATGTGCTGTACAGGAAAACTCATACGTCTGCATAGATTTTTCATTGAAATAAAGAGAGATTCCAGTGGGAGTATAGGTATTCACTCACTGTAAATCCTGTTGAAAACTAAGAGAATGCCATGGATGACTAAACACAAATGAAAGGAGATACTAAGTGAGAACTGTGGTTGGCTGTAAGCATTACAAGCTTTATATAAGAGGTTATATATAATATGCAATGGTAAAATCGTATGTTGATGCCTTTGGGAAGTCATCAGCATAATGGACAGTGTTGGGTTTTTTTTAAATCATTCATGAGTAATAATTACATCCATCTATTAGAGTACTTCATTCAAATGTTTTACATTAAAACTATCAATCTAAAATCCCTCACTTTATGATGAAAGAAAAAGATAAAATTGAATAAAGTTGAATATATTAGTAAATATTTTCAAGAGTTACAAGAACTCCTGGTCTTACAAGCTTACAGAATGCAGATTACTTGAAATTATATGCAGAATAAGTGGGCTGAATGAATCTGAATCATCAGAATTCTACAATTACCAAACCTCCTTTATACAGCTTTCTGAATTTCCAGATATACTTTAGTAAACTGTTAAGTCATATCTGCACTGAACTTTGTAATTAAAAAAGTGTCCAAATATGTTTAATTATAGTCAGTTTTACATAAAAATTTCCATGTATTATTTATGATAGGACTATAAAACATGCATTTATGTAATTACAGGCAAGTCAGTTTATCTGGTGGGTGAAGACAGCTGCTCGTCCACTTTGCTCCTGCATAGTGCCAGTTAGGCTAGAAGCTCCATAGCCATGTGAAGTACATGTTAGTTCAGTAGCTTCCAGTCCAGAGGTGGCCTGAGCGTGGCTGGGTTGAGAGGCAGCTACATAACTGCACATACCAATCTACTGAAGGCTCGCCCCACAGTAGATTACTTCTACAGATAAATACACTAATATTTCTGATCACCCACAGACGTTCTCGATTGATTTTGAGATTAATTTGGTTTAGGTGTTTCAACAGTCAAACAAATGGAAAGAAATGGAAATAGTTTGAAATAAGGGGTTATTCCAACCAGTTGATGCATACCAAAGTAATTTTTTTACAATTGTAACCTTTGTGAAAAAACAGAATTCCGTATAAATGAAAAGTTTAGAATGCCAGAAGCACATTTTGTCTTCACTTAGTGTTTTTTTAAACAAAAGCAAAAACCTCAATATTGAGTGTTAAGCCAGAAAAAGTGGTATTCAGAAATCAGTATGTAGGAGGACATGTAGCTGAGCCCTTTTTTTCATTTAAAAGCTGAGCACTTGTCCAGACTATTAGAGACCTAGATTCTGTTCATTCTTCTGTCTGTGAAGATTTGGGTTCACAGAAGAAAGCCTGTGTTCTAAAATATTCCAGAGTGGGCTTTTCTTAGAAAAATTACAAAATAAACAGGACTGCTGATCCAGCTGAAATATAAATACTCTTACAGTAATGGGATGGTTTCAATAAAAGATGATATGGCTTTACGGTTGGAGCAAAAGCCTTGATATTAGGAATCACTCTGTTTCTTTGCACCTTATTGAGCAGAATTCAGCACTGTCCTTCCAAACTCCCATATAAGAGGCTGGGATAACATCAACGTTTATCACTCAGCAATCTCAAAGCAAACATCAGATAGCATTTGACTTCTGCATTTTCTTGGAATTGCAATTCTAAAATGTGTTTTAATGTTTACCGCAATTATTAAATTTTCTCTGCAAATAATCATAGCTATTCTAACAATCAGTTCAAGGTTGTTTTATCAAATACTAAAGGGATTTCTATTTAATATTTCTGGGTCCAGTATATTTTCAGAAATTTCAAAACTGGTCAAAATAGCTTTGCAGTAACTTGCATTTTCTTTTATAAGATTTCAGCTAGAGTTAAATGACTTGAGACTTTTTAACAGTGCAGTAAGTTATTACAGTTAGCACTATTAGAGTGTTTCATAACTGTTTATGATGTACAAAGAACTCATGTCTGTCTTCTCTTTTCTTTTCTGTTACTAGCACAGTGACCTATCTAAGTCTGTGCAACTTATCTTTGGATATGTAGTTTGATGACATCCTCAAAGGGCTGCTGTGCTTAATGATGGTACAATCTAGTGCAAAGTGGCATCAGTAGAAGACTTGACAGCATGTAATTTTACTAATTATTTTAATAATGTCTTTCTTATTTTCATCTATTTAGCTTCCTGAACTTTGCTAGCTGTCTATTTTTTCAAGAAATTGAAACTGATCCTGTTCTCACCACTAAGATCTTGGGGAGACACTTTGATGAATCTGAGAGTGAAGTTTCTTTGGTTCTTTTCTCTTTACAGTATTTGTTACACTGTGAAAAGCAGTATTTGCCAAAGGTACCAGCTGAGAATAAATCTGCAAAGAACTGGAGTGATCGATTAGAGTGACCAATTAGAAAAATAGATATAGTCACAGTCTTAAACCACAGTCTGTGCTGTTTAAAGATTTTGAGCTTACCTATGCATACTAGATCCATAAAACCATACATTCCATAGCAGATTTGAAAAAGGATGTCCTTTCTTTGCCATACTGCATAAGGGCTGAAGGCTGACCATAGAAGCCAAGTCACACTTGCTACTAAGAACAGAGATCCTAGGATTACAGCAACCATCTGCACTTTCTCAACCAGTGTTATAGTAATGCTTTGCCACTAAAAGAGAAACAAAGTTGTGTAAGATAAAAACGTTATTTTCTGTGATTGTACATTCAACTCCACTTTTTTCCTGAAATCAGAAATTATTTTAATATTTATACATATCTTCATAGATCTTTACTAATATCCTCGATACTGACATTTTATATAATTTTACCTATTTCACTTTTAGTTAAAGTGAAACTAATAGTTGCTTCCCCATCCCCTCCAGCATCACTATCATCACCATCTAGCTGTGAACTTCAGAAGAGTTAATAGTTTAATTTCTATTTTGAATACATAGGCAAAAAAGGATTTAGTCTTAGGAACGGAACTCAGCCTTTCATATTTGTAGGCTAATAAAGAGAATAAAAAAAATGTTGGGAAAAGAATCTTAAGTATGTTTCACATCAGAGTGACAAGTTGAAAGTGACAACTTTCCCTTCCATTCCACCCCCCTCAAGTCTGAAGCCATTTTCCACTTTCCTGCTGCTCATCAAAGTTCCAGGCTATCTCCAGACATACCAAGGTAGTTGGGTTAACCAGTGTTAACATTACAAAGACACCTGCAGCCTAGTATGGAAGCGGCCTGAAGACTCAGGAGGAGCTCTGAATATAGGTAGCATGAAATTTTCTTTTCAGTGCACCTCAACTACATCCACCTATCTAGGGAAGGCTCTATCCTCTGTATGTGAGGTGACACAGATTTATAGTGTGACAAGATTTAAATATAAAAGAGTATGCTTACTGAATTCTGTCAAGATAAGAATAGAAATAAAATTTTGTTGAAACAAAGAGTCACAAAAGCAAAACACAGCATAAGGAAAAAAGCATTCTAGATTACTCTTGACATATATGATCCTTCTTGGCCATAATTGTCTAAATTAGCTTGGCAGACTCCCCACTCTAGCCCCATCACCTATTCCAGAGCTAGTGTGCAGACTTTGTAAACAAACCTGCCCCCTTATATGGTTGCAATAGGGAATAAGTGGAGAAAGAGCTACTGAAGTAAGGGCTCCATTACCTCTTTTCCCATCCGGCAATAATTTTTCCTTTTTACTGTTACTTTATGAACGCTTTCTCTTTTTACCAGCAGTTGAGTACCCAGTACTATATGATCGCAGGATGCTAGAATAATTCAGGTGCCAAGGGACTGTGGGAGGTCTCTAGTTCAACTTCCTACTCCAAACAGGGTCAGGGATGAGATCAGACCAGGTTGCTCAGGGCTTTATTCAGTAACAACTTGAAAACCTCCAAGCATGGGGACTGTTCAGCCTCTCTGGGCAACCTGTTCCACTTTTGACTGTCTTCAGGTTGAAAAATGTTTTTCTTAAAAAATGTTTTTCTTATATCCAGGCCGATCCTCTTTTGTTCCAACTTATGCTCTCTTCCTCCCATCAAGTACCACTGTGAAGAGCCTGAGTGAGGAATGAGGTCCTCTGCCCCTTTCTTCTCCATCAGCTTTTTCCATTAACTTTTCTACTGCTGCCTAATGTGCACATCTGGTGCTGCACGCCTTCTCTTGTTGCAGCCTTCTGACTATAACAGTACAAAAAGATAGCTATATAACAATTTCTAAACTGTCTATCTTGAAATACTATCCTTTTATAATGAACTTATTAAACTCATACTAGCTATTTCACTGAACTTCAGGGTTTGGAATGGGGCTATTCATATTAAATAATGTTTTTTATGGAAAAACAACTATGGATACTCATTTCCTTTGTTAGAAATTTTTTTGTAAGGTTAAGGAAGGTCATGCATGACAGAATGGTGTGAGCTTCTCATGACAGATATTACTTGTATACAGGGTTTAAATGTCAGGACTGAAATTCATAGAGCTCTCTTTAGACTCTATGGGGATTTGTTCAACAAAATTATTTTTCATTTCTCAGCTGAAGCCACATAGTGTGACTTGGCAGAAAACTGTCAAAAATACTATTGGTTATGTATCTCCTCCATTATCAGTGTGAGGCAGACCTGTAATAAATTTGTTTGGAAAGCCTGAAATCAAAGTACATTTACATGAAATAAAGCTTTAACTGTCACAAAATATTAAACTGTCAAATTCATGGAAGAAGCTGGCAATAAATGGAAAAAACTGTTATATCACTGAAATAAACAGCAGATCTTTCACAGTGCAATTTCAGCAATGCAGAAGTTCCTAAACTCACTTCAGCTTATTTTGATCTTCTTTTTTTTTTTTTTAACTTAGATTACTCATAATTATTCTGGAAAGATAGCACTGAACAGAAGGAAAAGTAGTCCAAACATTTGGGATAAGTAATGTAGCATGCAATCTAGATATAAAACCCATCCCTTATTCTGGTGTTGCCTGACAACCAACTTCTATTCCTATCTCCCACTCCCAACCAGAATCAACCACTCCTTTCCATCTTACGAGGGCTTTTGTTGGCTTACCCAAACTTTTTCTTTCTAGAAAAGCTTGACCTTGAAAAGTCCTAAGAAACATAGGTATGATCCTCACCTCTTCCTAGCATCTTCTCAAGAATGTATTCTAGTTATTTTGCTGTTCTCCTGATCAGATGAATTGTCTGTCAAGAATGCAAGCAATTGAATCTCTCAACCTCAATAAATTCAGTAATTCCAAAGATTCAGCATATTAGCATGCTACCAACCACGAAGTGGAGCCACCCCAATTACTGAGAAAATGCTCAAGCGCTCCACAGGTTGTAGTTCCTAACTTCTTTGCCTTTAAAAATCAAAGAACAGTTACAAAACAAAACAAAAAACAACAAAACAAAACAACGAAGAGCCCCAAAAGGGGGTTGGATGTTTTCTTCTATTACTCATCTACTTCGGCCTTTGTGGTATTCACTGCCTTTCTTCTACAAAAGAAACTGTAGTCCTTCACCTTCCTCAATATGAAGGTCAGCAATAACCAAGCAATTTAAACATTTTAGGAAAGTTACCTCCCTATTACGGCAATCTGTAAGTTAAACTAATTGATGAGATCCCACAGTAAATAGAGGAGAAAGGACTGTATGCATAAAATGGAAGGCATTCAAGAGGCCCAGAAAGTTTTATGCAAAACTGCTAACTTGCCTCCTAGTGCTAGGCAGTCTGCCATAAGAATCAACACCGAAAGAGTGATAGGGTGGGATGGATTGGTATTAAGCTTTAACATGTGATCACTTTGGGGACCTTGGTTTCTGTGTATGTCCCTCAGTGCAAATGGTAAGAAGACTGTGGATGTTCCTGATGGTTAACTTGCCTCAACTGAAATTTCCTCCTCCTTTCCCCCTCCAATCAGTTTTGATTCAGAACAGTTTGAGATTGCCTCTTGGGAAATGAATGTCTTGATTTTTTTCCCGTAAGTTTTCAGTTTGGGTACAAATTATAAAAAGTGAACAGATCTTACTGAGACAGGCATATTTTTCACATAATGAAGAAGATATTCCATAGCTATGACATTATTCACATGTAAATAATTTTGGAAGGTTCAGTCCTTTACTGAGCCAGGGACAGTATTAGCCATTAGGCAACGAGAGGAACTACATAGGACTGTATTGTTTGGTGGCATTGCATTTCATAACAAGGCTTGTGAAGAGGAACTGGAGTTGTGGTCACCCTGTTTTCTTCTACCTGAAGTCTTACAGCATAGCTAATATGTATGAGTATACACTCTGACAGACACCCAGGAACAGAAGACTCCTTTTCTAAGAGTAAGATTCTTTTTATAGTATTAAAAGCCAGCACAAACTGTGCTGCACAAACTTTATTTGATTTCTCACCATCATTTACCTTATTGTATGTCCTGTTACATGTTGTTATAATCACTGCACCTTTTAATGTCAAATTAATAGCTTACAATAAAGAGGTCAAAAAAATAATGCATTAAAAATAATTCAGTGACAGTTAATGATGTTGAGAAACAGCATTTAGAATTTAACAGACTGAATTATTTAACATTCCAAATTGAATGATCTCATTATTAGTGTGTCATAATTTAAATCCATTATTTCCATAAAAGTTTCTCATTTTCTTAATATAACTTGTCTCACAACTCTTAATTGCTTATGATTATAAATTATATTATGACTTCCTAATTTGTTTTTGTCATTTGCTGACTATACATTCCATAATCAGTAAGAGTTCTGTTAGCTAAGTATTTTGCCAAGTTAGAAAAGATCTATACAGCCTTTTAGTGTCAGCTTCTGTAAAGTACATGACCCTAAAAAATACTATCAGAAAGATTACCATTTTTGCTTAAAAACTAGAAGTTGAAAGAAAATTTTAAATATTTTGTATCTAGATAACTATAACAATGTGAGTAATTTTTCAAAGACAGATTCATAAAAAAATTCTCATTTAAATATCTATGAAATAGGATCCCGTTTCATATTCCTTCCCATCATATCTGTAGTGTTATGAGGTACCATGCCGTCCCTGTGGCCCATGAAAAGAACACATTTTACTTTAATATACTATGATGAAATCTTCCTTTGAAAATGGTGCCCTCATAAACAAAATATAATTCATGCTTCTGATTTTAATATAATACTGTCTGACCCTTGAAAACTTCCTACATTTTACTTCTACTGACACTTCATTATGTTTGGCTCTTCTAATCTTTTATTTACCACTGGTCTTCCTTTCATGAATCATTTGGGAGTCTAGTACATTAATGGCACACTATAGTTCTAATGCTGACCCCAGAAACATTGCTCCTCTTTGCTTCTAAGGCCTCTGTCAAGCAGAAATACTGCATAACTTCTTATTTTTGAGGTTGAGACTTCCAGAAGTTGAAAGAAACATATTGCTTTGATGGATTAATTGTTAAAGAATAAAGTTAATACAGTTATATGCATGTCTTTACTAACATAAAGATGGATATAATATTCAAAGATCTGTCATTTTTGAGATAAAGCGATATTAACTTGGCTTTTTTTTAATGGTGCCTTGTAAAAACCCATTGATCATTGCAAAATACATGGCAGAAAAGTGATCTAAAAAGTACTGACTGAGACTGCGCTTGTACTTAGAATACATTATAT